TTCGGGAGAAAGAACAACCAACACTTAACCAAAAGAAAGTCATTCCATTTCAAAATAAGAGAGTGTACATTTTGAAAAAAAAAATACATATCGAGCTCACAGGCCCGGAGGTACTTCTTTTTCATCAAAAGGCACTTCAACGACATCCGAAGGTCCTGCCTCGCCCTCAGAATCCGGCTCACCATCAGCAACGTCAGCCATCTCCTGAGTAATACGCGAAGTGGATATCACACTAATATCGAGCTCGGGGTACGTATTCTGGATCATCCATCGGCTTAGTTTAAAGCCCTTTCTATACGAGTCCACCATCAGGTCATCAAAGCGCGGCGAGGCGATGTATTCATCGACGACCTTCTTCTTGGCATCCTCAATGCCTTGAGAAAAGATCTGTGTCCTCTCCCTGATATCCTCTTGAAGGTATTCAACCTGATGCTGCAAATCCAGCCTCAGGTCCGCCATACGCTTCACCACAACTCCCATGGCCTCGACCTCTCTCTGAGACCTCGCCTGCCTGGCCTGTGCAGCGCGAGCAGCCGCCTCAGCAGCTCAGGAAGCCGCCTCGGTAGCACGGAAAGCCTCTTCGGCAGCTCGCGCCTGCCTCGAGCTCCTTTCCACTTGAGCCGCCAAGGCATGGATAGAAGAATTCACCTACCAAAAGGAAAGAACAAATGATCAAAAGAACGACAACAAGAAAGATAGAAGCAAAAGAGCCTGACAAGAAATCTGACTTACCACCATGGCATGAGTGGCAGCACGACAAGCTATCTGGTTCAAAGGAAGATCGGTCCATGCCGCGACCTCCTCAGGATAGATGGCCTCCCTACTCTTCTGAAGAGCGTGGTTCGGCGACAACACGCTCCTAAACTCGCCTTGGGCACCCGAGCCTGAGGGCCCAGCTCGCGTGTAAGTGGACTCGGAGTAAGCAGGAGCCCCCGTGTAAGTGGCCTCGGCATAAGGAGCCCCTGCCGCTTCATGAACTGGAGGGGCCATCTCGGGCTCCCTGGGCGGATCCACTGACGGGTAGTCTAGTACCTCAGGCTCCGCATCTCGGGGCAGCTCGGCACAAGTTCGTTTGGCGACTCGCTTCCTCCTCTTCATGCCGTGAAACAAGTGCCCACCACGAGTCCTCTTTAAGTCCATCACACCTGCAAAATGATCTCGTCATTAGAAAAAAAAATGAAAGAACGGAGCAAAACAAAAGACAAACCTCTGAGTAAGGAACCTACCCGAACTCAGACCAGCCTCAATGAGCTTGGCCTCCGACAGATAATGATGGCATTTTAGCCCAAGCCGTGCCCATTGCCGGAGGCCCTTTGCTGTCTCCTTATCAAGCGTAACACCGGCGTCAGGGGCGGCCATCCCCCACCCGGTTTGAAACGGCCACCCCAATATACTTCGCACCCCAAAGTAGTCCCGCTTCCACGCCAAGACCTTGTTGGGAAGTTCGTGTAAAAGCTTAAAACCTGGGCGAGGAGACAGGTAATACGCTCGCCTACGCCTAGGAAGGGGACACGCTTGCTTCTTAAGCATTAAAATGGAAGAGAAGATCTCCAGGTCTAAAGGCAAGCCCTGTTCGCAAAATAGGGAGATTGTCCCCACCAAGTTACGAATGGAGTTCGGGTGAAGCTGGCCGACAGTAACGCTGAAGTGGTTCATGACCTCGACAAGGAGGGGATGGAAAGGCAGGCGCAACCCCGCAGCAAGTTGCTCCTGGAATATCACGATCTCATCAGGACCATGTTCCCAAGGTAAACTGCCCGAAGGTATGAAGTAGGTGTACTCCCCAGGCAAGTTGAACTGGGTAATAAGGGATTGAAGCCCCTCAGGTGTCATGGTCGAGGGTCCAAACTTGTCTAACGTCCGACCTCGACGAGAGGTGGACGCCAAACTACCCGAGGCGACTCGACCTACGGGTTCGAACTCTTCCTCGAGTTCTACCTCAGGTTCACTAGGACTGTTGGGGGATGCAACTAGGTTCGTAGAACCTGCGTCCGACCCCCTTGAAGAACTGTCTGAGCTATCCGAGCTCGACATTGAAAGGAGAAGAAGGATTCCAGGAAAGTACTCACCCGGAAAAAGCAAACGGACTACGGGAAGGTGAACGCGCGCTGAATTTGGACGCGAGCTCAAGAAGAAAAACGCAAGATAATGATAAAGACTGGGGTCCCCCACTATTTATACCCACAGTAACCAAGAATCAACGGCTCAGATCAAAGTCAATTCAACGGCCCGCAGTCGCGCTGACCGCACGTCTCCTGAGACCGAGACGTGACTGGCCACACGTCCCTCGAAACTGAAAGTGCACGTCTCCTCACATCAAAGGCGACAGCGGCGCGCTTTTTGAATTTTGAAATAAAGCACGCGTTGTCACGTCTCCTAGCAGCGCGCTTTTTGAATTTTGAAATAAAGCACGCGTTGTCACGTCTGTTAGCATTTATAGGCAGATTGGCGCGTTTCCCATCTTTTTGGCACTCGAGAAACCCGAAAGAATCCTAACAACGCGCACCTCGCGCTATCAGTCAACCAATTCGAAGTACGGGACAAATCCACCCGCCACCTCACGAACTCCCCGCACTAGGGCAAGACCCTTAGCACGAGGAGTGGGGGGCAATTGATGAAGGAAGATTTGACTCGACCTCGTAACCACTCAACACATGGCAAAGGCAACAGCTCGGCACAACAGCTCGCCAAGGCGCGAGCTCCGAAAGGAGGAACCAGCGGTCCAAACTCCCTGCAAGGAGCCCAAACTCCCAGTAAGGAGCCCGAGCTCTCCCTTAGGCCCCGAGCCTTACGAACACAAAGGGCAACAACCCGAACTGGCCTGCCCCATGGCAGTTCGGGCCACACCTCTGTCCGAACTCAAGACTTCACCTCGTACACCACTCCAACACTTTGCCTCCAGGACACCGAACTGAACAAACCACATCATACCTGACACCGAAGGAGTCCGTATCCAGGGGCGGCACACCTGACTGACTTGGGATCTGACGCTTGACAGCCGCACTCCAACGGCCACCTGCCACTGCCATCTCCAATTACAGAGACAGCTCCGATAAAGAGCAGTGGTGGTTCTGTCCCAGCAGAGGTGATGACACCCGAACTAGCAGAAGCACAGAAGTAATCATACCCGACCTGACAGAAGCCTAGGAATGAGTGCGCGAAGTGGTTATAAAAGGCTCTCTACCCCCCGAGGACAAGGTATGTGAACTTTGAGGCATCTGGTTTTATCTTGCCTTTGAGAGAATAGTAACTTGAGCTTCAGAGTGATCTCACCGGGTTCCTCCCTGGAGATTCCCCACCTTCTTCTCCATTTCAGGCCCCCCTGTTGCTCCAGTCAGAGGCAAGGTCGTTGACAGCTAGGAACGGTCGGATTGCGCACCATCAATTACAGCAAGATGTAGATTCTAAAATCATAAGTCTTTCTTTTTTGGTATTTTTAGAACATTAACCAATTCAAATAGTTACGTGAGTAAACAAAAAACATATAAGACTTACTGATACACCAAACAAACACGTCAGTTGCTACTTTCTCCCTTTTTTTCCTCTCACAATCAAATCAGCCCCTCACAACAATGCCCCCTATAACGTCCCATAACACATGGCTACCATGTATTGAGAATATCTCTTGATGATAATACCAGAAATGATAATGTCATCATCGAGAGGTATTCTCAATACACAGTAAAAATATACTGTGGGACGTTGTGTGGGACTGATTTGAAATCCTACATTGCAACTAAACCAAATAATCACTTGTCACCAAATCTCCCATTATCAAATCCCTGTTCGGGTATCTTACGACCAAAGATTTAGGGGAGCTAACTCCAGTTGGCCCAAATTAGAATTTTAAACTATTTTTGGGTTTAGGCCTTCAGGTGGGTCCGTTCAAATTTTGACGAAAATCCCAACCCAAAATTTCCCAAGTTGTACCCCTAGGACGCTTGAGAATCGTACCATAAAAGGAAATTCCATCTTACAGTCATATGGCAGGGGGTTGAAGAATGAAGATATCCCAAACACCTGATTTTACATACATGTGATAATTATTTGTGGTTGGATTAGATTATCTATTCATCCTCTTTCCAGCGAATTCAGATTAATTGAAGAAACTGGATTCACTGAGTGCAAAGTCTGTTCGAACAACTATTATAATCTTKCATTGAGAATATCTCCCCATGAAATAAAGCATAAAAGTATGGAGATATTCATGATGCAAGACTGTAAAGACTGTTCGAATGGGCCTTGCACTGACTGAAGCCGAGTTCTTAGCTGAACGCTTTAAATATTGAACCGGCTGTGGAACCAATGATAGTTAAACAGTTCAGTTAATCCTATTTCCTTCCCAGCCCCGCACTGCATTAGGGTAGTTTTTCCACAATTCTTTATCTAAAACGACACATTTGATTCCCTTCCGGGAAGGGAGGGAGGTAATTACTATTTATTATTAAACATTAGGGAGGTTTTTATGAGCCAAATTATAGGATAATTTTGTAGACTGAGAAAAGTGCAGGCAATTTCGTGAGTGTCGTATGATAGGTATTTTAATACATGTCGTCGCATTATTATTAAATTAGCATTTTTTTCGTCATGTTAATTTGTACGTATAAATATTTATAAAAATATATCTTGATTTATATGTACATAGAGTGATAGAGAAATTTCATTTTAATGCTTTTTCCAATGATTGAATGTTCGTTCCTATTCCGTTGATATAACACCTAATTGTCGATAAACGATTTATCAAATACTTTTCCTAATTTTTTATACCATATAAACATTTATTTAATAAACTGAAGCTGTACCAAATACGTACAAGTATATTATTTTTACCTTCCAGCCTTCCAGCCTTCCAGCTGGCTAGACGTAACTGGACAAAAGGAGCGGAGCGTCGATCTTCTGAGTTCTTAGTTGTTACCATAAAATAAACGGTTGGGATCCGAATTAAATCCACGTTGACCTGGATCCGACAATAGGTGGGACTGGGGAGGATCCATACCTTCAGATTCTTTGCAGTTTGGCCATGGCCATAGGAAACACCAACAAGGATCCGCCGGAGCTCGGATTTTGGTAAAGCAGAGCAGAACCCCATAGGCGAACAAAGACAAAAACAGCAGCGAAAACGCGCACATCCGGACCGGATAGGAGTGGGAGCTAAGAGAGACGTCATATATCCCTCGTCTCCCGTAGGGTGGTTTCATGATTTGCGCACGGAACCAGTTAAATCTGCGAAGAAATGAGAAAAGCCCGACGAGCAGATCCTACTCGGACGAAATCTCGACCTGAGTAGTCGTTAAATATTCGTTTATACTATCAGATCGTGCTTCTTCCATCTTGATCCTCTTAAATTTTTCAACTTTTTCTTTTTTCGGGATAGCAACATCAGTGGCAAGATGATGAGGTAAGCTCTTTGTATGCTTCTTGCGTCTTTTGACTTTTCCTTGTTGTTAAATTGGCGAACTTGTAGTTTGATGAGAACCAAGAATGAACTTGTCCAGATTTCTTATATTTTCTCCTTGAGGATTGGGTCTACTGGTCTAACATGTTCTGTGTTCTGAATACTAATGGATTTATTCATTAGATGATAAGGTTGAAAATCCATTTCCTTTTTTTTTCTCAATAGAAAATCCATTTCTTTAGTCTCTAAAAATGTTTATTTAACCTAAAAGAGAACTAAACTAGGGAATGCATTTTCTTTTTTGTGAATTTCTATCTTTAATTGTGGTCAAAGGCCACTTTGCATTGAGTTTTAAGGGTTGAACAATGAGCATGAATTCCTAATATAATCATTTCTACAAATTTTTAATTAGTGATACGTTAATTTTGTACTGGCTGGAGACACTGCTGTGGAAAATGAGTTATGAGGGCAACTGTAGATTCTCACAAATCCAGAATTTCCTACTTCTCTCATCAGTGGTGTAAGTGTTTAGAAGAAGCCCGATCTCTGTGCGATTTTAGATGTTTGATATTTAATAGAGAGAACTTACCTTTTCGCATTGATGTTTTCTCCACAATAATCCTTGTATCTCTCAGCTATTTGTACAGACATTCCTAGAGATACTGTTGTCCTTATTGAGACGTTTAATTTAATGGAGCAGACGACATATTTTTGACTTCTCTTATGGTTCAGGACCTGGCATAAACTGTCTTCCTTTGCCAGGATTAATCCCTTTTTCAATGAATTTGTAGCCACATCTTATTGCTTTACCAGGGGTCATTACTTGAAGTAATTGGTAAAATCTCAGGTTGGCAAGCATGAGAATGCGGTTTAAGTCTAAGGGCGACCACTTTGTGTGGAAAAAAAAAATGATGAAGGTTAGGACTGAACCAAGCCTACCCCTCCCAAGACCTGAGATAGTTGGGATCAACATTGGGTAATGCCCCTTTTATCTTATTGCCCTGCACTTTTAAAGATGTGGTGTTAGGACATCTTTTAGAGTCATCTTATTCCAAATTGATTCAGTTATCAACTTCCAGATTAAGAATCAATCAGTTAAATAGCTTTTCTACCATCATCGTCATTCACTCACCTTTATATCCTTAGTTTCAAATGTGTTCCAGTTCAAAGATATACTTGCTCTTACCAAATCCCAGGCTTCAACCTTACTTGGACAGTACTTCCAATACTCATATTTAGTTGATATTTGGGGTTGTATATTCCTTATTGGTTGTTATTGTTTTTCCTTTGTTGACTTTCAATTGCTCAAATTGCAGTTTGATTTTAGTAAGTAAATGCCTTACTGTACGTCTGTACCTTGTCTGTAGAAATCTTTCAATACATCTTTTCAATTAAAATGTTTTATGGTAAGACTTATTTCCTTGTCATGGAAGTAGGCAACTTGACTTCAATATGGAAAAGCTCCACCTTTGCAATGTAAAGCAAGGTTGGGAGTCATCATAGGTTCTAATTTTGAATGCTCCATAGGCCTTGTAATTTTTTTTTCTTCCTCATGTTGGTAAATTTTTTMTTTTTCAACAACCTTCATAGATATTAGTGGTAGTCTTGGTTTTCTGTACTCACTTGAGGATGTTGTGGCTGCAATCCCCACCCTCTGTGAATCAAAAGAAAGAAGTTGTTTGTTTCATTGTTGTAAAGTGAAATATCCGTTAACCATTAATTTCTTGCTTGAAGATTTGTCATTGTTTCTGATATTTCTTGGACTACTTTTCTCATTTCATTATGTTCAATCTGGTGTTTGGTACCATTTAGGATTTAGATTGTTCTGGATGCAATGTATTTGAAGGTTTGATGGAGTGCTAGAACAACAGCATTGCTTAAAAGTATCCAATAATGTTCCCTTCCACTTCCAGATATGACTGAGGATATGAGTGTACTATCATTTCAGCGCATTGTCTTATTTATATAACTTAGATTCCAATGAGAAGTGACTGCTGTGAAATCCAGGGTACTCTGTATGAAAGCCCTTAAAGACAATTTGCCAGCAATGCACATTCATAAGTGGCATACAATGTGATGACTTGGGGGTAGGTTTATCTCAAACCATATGTTGATCCAATTAAGGCAAATATAACCGTTAGTTCACATGATACTTTAATGGAATAAGTTTTTTCCCATTTTCTTTTCCTTTCTTTTTTTTTTTCTTTTTTTGTGTGTGTGGGTGGAGGGGGGGGGGGGTTCCAGCAAACAGCATTGCAGCAGCCCTTACATTCCAATGAAGCCTGTTTCAGCCTTTCAGGAGAGAATGGAAGAAAAGGTGATTCAATGTTCAGTAATGGGACTAGAAATTTAGAATGAAAAAAAAGAAAAACATTAAGTATTATTACCAGGACATCTAGTTTCATTGACAAGCAATTGAAAGAAACCAAATTAAAATGATGGAAAAGCTGAAGAAATAAATTGGAGATTTTGAGGAGACCAGAAATTCAACATTGCTCTTTTTCTAGATAGTTGATACTGGTTCCAGATTTTTGCTTTTCCAGAGTGCCATAATTTTCTTGCCTATGACCATAGTTTTCAAGGCGCCAAGGCAAGGCTAGGCACAGGAGGGCGCCTAGTCGCCTAGTTGCCTAGGCGACCTAGGCAGTGGATTTTTTTCAAGTAAAAACATGTATCCTAGGGTAGTTCTCTAGGTTCCATTATCATATTTCCTTAATGAATATCCATAATTTTCATAAGAAAAGTATAAACTTCATGTTAAAGTATAGAAAATCAACATATTCATGAGAAGAAAAAGAAGAAAGAAAAGAAAATTCAAAAAATATAGGGGCTGAACCCCTATTTCTGTTATAGGAAAAGAAGAAAAGAAAAGGTGGAATAAGAATGTTATCAGCTTAACCAAAAGTATGCCTGATGAGTTATTTAGAATAGGAGACACCCTTTTTGCTTTCATGATTGTGACTCTAAAATATATATAACAGACAGTAGCTGGTGACTGTCTCTTTGATGACATATTAACACAATTACTTACTCTCTGCCACTGGAAAACCTGTAGGTGGTTAATTTGCAATCCCTTGTTTCAAAAATGTATGATTTGTTCTATTTACTGAGAGTATTTTGCTACATAGACTTATTTTTACACATTTTAGGTAATTGCTCCAAAAAGTCATTTAGATGAGTTAATTTATTGAACCTGATGATATGCATTTGAAAAAATCCTACAAGAACACTCAAAATTATTAATTAAATGTTGTATTAAGGGAGAATGAGGGCACAGGAGATTCCTCTTCTCAAATGATGTGCATGAAGATATATTGGAGAAGATTCACGCTTGTACGAATAGAGACCTATATAGATTTATGGGCCCTTGTCTTAAGGTAGGTCCTCTAGAATTCATTGAACTGAGTGAATTTACTGAACCTAGTGATTTGCACTTGAAGAAAATCCAGAACAAACACTTGAAATCATTTATAAAATGCTAAGCTACTGAAGAAAAGAGGGGAGGGGACTTGATATTCTTCTTCCTATTTAGCTGAAACTAGATATTTTATTCTGAATCTCTGATAGAAGTAAAGTTAGGATAAAATTCTACATAGTTTACTTAAAATGAGCATGAAGAGCAGGTCTTAGGTAGGCTGGAGAAGGTTCCCACTTCTAAAAATAAATATACTGATGGATAAGCAGATGCAAATTAGATTTAGAAAGAAAGTGGAGACTCTTGATGAAGAGGCACTTCTAATCTCTCTTTTCCTTCAAGGGTTTCACTTACTGACAAGAAACATCCTAGAAACTTCATGGATATCTGTCGGATCATCATCTGTTGTTTGATGTAAATCTTTGTGTTGGCATGGTGGGCTCTGAGACATATCAATTTATTTGGATTTTTATCTGTTTTGTAAACTTATTTCTTGTTTTACATTCTCTGTTTTGGTTCATAGATGACCAGAGGAGTCAGCAATGTCAATTTCACAAGTGGAAAGAATGGAATCTCTGAGCAATGACATTTTCTATGACATATTGAGGCGTCTTGATGGTGCAACATTGGCCAGTGCAGCATGTGCTTGTGCTGCTTTCCATTCCATCTCAAAGGAAGAGAGTATATGGGAAAATGTCTGCCATTCTTTATGGCCTTCAACCAATAGAGAAGATGTTAGGAGTTTGATTTCATCAATTGGTGGATTCCGAAAGTTTTATGCAGGGTGTTTCCCACTTATTGTGAACAAGGATGTTCCTGTGGCTCAGTTGGACTCTTGTCATGAATATCTTGAAGAATGGTCTGATGCTGATTATTATGGTGACATGGATGTATTTGAGAGTGTTTCACCCTCAGATTTTGTCTCTATTGTGGATATCAGATATAAGGATAAAGCTATTTATTCAAAGGTCCTCTGGGGTATTCCTGATTCAGATGGTACCAATGGTTGGTTTTACAACTGCCCCTTTCGGATTGACCTTCTTAGCTATTCAGATGGGAATGATGCCAATGAAGATGAAATTATCCTATCAGTATCTGATGGTCTGCCGCCAGTTACATCCATAGAGAGGGAGAGGAAAGATGGAAAGCTTTGGAGGGAGCTCCGAGATGGAATCAGGCTTAGTTGGATTATTGTAAACAAAAAGGCAAAACAAGCCGCTAATTTTGCTAGCTGGAGCCCTCTTGGGGGGCAAAGGCATTGGCCAACAGACAATGATTTCTTGCTACATTTTGGATCCATTCTTCCTGCCAAGGATATCCTTCCATGTCGAGTAGTAGAATGCATTCTTGTCATGAAATGTAAAGTGATACATAGTGGGGAAGGAGAGGATAATCATACACTTCTCAAGCTAACAGAGCTAAGCATGCAGCTGAAAGACATGGGGGGTAGTCATTTGAATGGAAGAAATAGTTTGCTTGTCCTTAAAGAAGCACTAAGCTGCCGTAGGAGCAAAAATTATACTGAAGTTCTAGAATCACGCCATTTGTACTCAAAAGCACAAAGTGAGTTGAAAGAGGAGAGGATGAGAAATGAAAGTTATATAGACAGATTATGTATCTTAAGCGGCATAGCTGCACTTCTCACATTCTGGTACTGCATTTTATGAAATAGACCATACTGTTGTTCTGATCATTATCTTGATTGATATACTTTTCATATTTCCTCAAGGACTGAAATTCGGCAAAAAAAATGGCCTGGAGAAGTGGCATAATTTTAGTCATATCAACTGCTCTGATGGATATCTGACCCAAGAGGCCACGAAGCAGCTAAAAATGTTATTGTTGTACTCATATTATAGACTTCTATTTTCACTTTGGCCAATCAAGTTAATTCATTGACTGTATCAATAACAAATCTGAGCAGTATGTTTAAACTCTGATGTGTACTGTTTTCAACCTTGTATTATAACTCAGTAATTAGTTGGAAAGAACTGAGTGAAGAATCTCTTGCAAAGCTTCCTTGAACAAAGAATCCTCTCAATCCAGCAATGACTGAATATGCTTGGTTTTGTAGCCGAACTTGTACCTCCAGACTACCTTCATCCCCTTTCTTTCTCTCTACTTGGAAAAGTTAATCCGAAGGAATCAGGTATTCAGGTTAGACTCAGGGTTGAGCCCTTGGGCAAGCAGATGCAAGTCCAAACCAATGTGTTATGCATGTAAGCTGCCAGGATGAAAATTCCAAAGAGAGGGGCATTGGGTTCACTTCTAGTTCCAGCCATCCCAAAGAACCGAAAAGGAACAGCAAAAGAAAAGTCTGAGGTTGGTGTTGTTCATCTTTATCCCAGTTTATTATTCAATGATCCTGTTTGATTTAGGGGGTGTTCGACATTGTGAATGGTTTTGTTTTTGTTTTAGAAAACCAATCCATTCACACTGTTGAATGCCCCTTGATCATTTGGAATTGCTATTGCATCTAAATGTCATCGCCATTATTTGAAGTTCATTTCAACAGATGATACTTTTCATGGATTAACAATTAAAGGCTTTTCCATCATAATTCAGACCAGAAGTTGGATTTTATTTCCGTTTCTGCATCTTCACCAACATGATGTCTTCTCAGTTTCGTGGGATTATTGAAACCTAAATACATGGATTTAGGATATCTGGCCAGTTCTAAAGGTTAATACCCTACTTAGAAATGTCCTTGCTCAATTCTTGAAGCTTAACTATTTTTTTGGTTAAAATATAGAAACCTCCCCTGGGTTTACTCAATCATATAAACCTCCCCTGTGTTTTTACGTTAACAAAAACCTCCCCTGTGTTTTTACGTTAACAAAAACCTCCCCTATAGATTTGAAAAAATGAACAGTTACCTCCCTTTAGTGATCTTTCCGGTAATTGAAACACTGAAGTTACAAAAATGACCTTACTGCTCTATGAGGAAAATCTACTCCAAATCTTCCCCATCTCGTTTCTCTGCATCTGTTCCTTTAGTTTCCCCATTTCTCAAGCTATTCTATTTGCAGTTTCGAATCTGCCTTTGTTTCCTTGTAAAATTGTCAATCATTGTGAGCATCTTCAGTCACGAGTCTAACGTCTTTGATCCCTTCCCCAGCAATTTTTTATTACACCAGTTCCACAGCTCACGTGTTCAAGACGAACATGCCTGAGATAAAGATGGAAGAGATTAAGGTGGAGGTTGAGGATGGAAGGATCGTCTAGATCAACAAATGTGAGGAGCTGTGAGAATGAGACGAAGAACAATGCTTGGGAATGCATCGGATGGAGTAGTGGCAAGTTCCTAAGGAGGTTCTAGACTTCTTGTTATCAGAGAAGGCGAAGGCTGATCAAGTGAGAGAGGCGATGGAAGATGGAATGTTGACTATAATCATGCCAAAGGATGAGGTGAAGAAACCCAATATGAAGTTGATTAAGATCTCTGGTTGAGTCCATCATCCACAAAATAGATAATCCGACTATTATTTCCCTACTTTTCCCTTTTCTTATGGTTTGTAAGGGTGGAAAATGGTAGGAAATGAGAAAATTGCAATCCCATGATCCCATCCATGACAATGCAGCTTATTGATTAGAAAAAATTGCAGGAAATGAGAGATTGGTTAAGTAGGTCTCAAAAGGATTATTATCCAGACTAGAATAAAAAAGCAGGGTTTGTTAGGGAGATGGAGTCCATAACATTCTACAACTTTCTCAGAGATGGCACAGCGCACAGGTTCCATTGATTTATTCATCGTATGCATTCTATGTGGGCATTGTTCTGTGGTCCGTGGGGTCCTAGTCTTCAGTTTGTAGGTGAATTTTTAATCTCCGTTTTGCAAACAGTTACAGAAATTAATTAAGGTCCATGGGGTCCTTGCTACACTTGGTGATTCCTGAATTTCTTTTCTCTATCATTGAGTCTAGACCTGTTCATGGGCCGGGTGGCCCGACGGGCCGGCCCGACCCCCGGACGGGCTTGGACATTTTTATAGGCCCGCGGGCTTAAATTCGGGCCAAAAAGCCCGGCCCGCAATAAATTCGAGCCGGGCTCGGGTTTTGTCAAAATAGCCCGGCCCGACCCAACCTAATATTAAACTTAAAATTATTTATGTGATTATGTCTATTTGAATAATTTTTTTTGATTTAAGAATGTAAAATTGTGTTTTAAAATATAAAAGAAAGGGAAAAATACCATCTTGTAGGCCCATTGTTCATTTAAATAGAAAAAAAATACTTATCTGAAATTTTAATTCTAATTTGAATAGGGAAAATTGTTTTTTTTTTTCAATTTGCTCGGGCTTCGGGCTTTTTACCAGGGCCGGGCTCGGGCCCAAGTTATAGGCCCGTTGGTCGGGCCGGGTCGGATCGGGCCTAGTATATTTTCATTAGTGACAAGTGAAAGCCCGGCCTGAGCCCGACCCGACCCGGCCCATGAACAGGTCTAATTGAGTCTAAGAAATGTCATTTTGGTGCCAGTTGAAGGAACAAAACTACATTGCTTCAAATCGGAACCGTCTTTCCTCCTCTGTGTTTCTGACTCCAATAAAACTATGTTCTTTGGAAGTTTCAGTGTGGATTTATTCAACATTGCATTCCTACGAATTCAAACCGTATTTCTTAGGTTGCATTTGGCATTCCTGTTTTTAACGATTTCTCCTTTTTCCAGTTAAAAACTCAGTATTGATAGGGGCATTTTAATTGCAAAAAGGAGAAAGTCCTTAAAATAAAGAATGCCAAATGCAGCCTTGTTCGGTGGCAAACTCCGGCTGCCTTCTCCTTCTCTATAGCCACGAACGTTGCCTACCGGGTTCAAGGGCTGGAAAAGTGAAACAAAGAGAAGAGGAGCAAGGTCCTTTAATAGGCCCAAACTAAATGTGGCTCAGGTCTCGGGGTATATTTTAGTAAATGTACACCTGAATGGATTATTCTAAGGGTAAAATTGGTATTTTAAAAAGATAATATATTATGTCAGCGTTTTTTGTTGGAAAAGATAGTGGAAGGGAGGTAACTATAGGGGAGGTTTTTCTGATTGTCAAAAAAACTTAGGAGATGTTTTTATATTTTGCCTTTTAATTATATTACTACATTGCCTGTTTGATACTTAAAACCATGGTTATGGGTTGGGGGATGGTTTCCCCACTCGCCCATTATATATAGCCTGGACCACCCGATTCTTTTTTTAATGGCCACTAGTAAAGGTGTGCGTGCATTTGCAATTTTGYATGTAGCAGTATCTCTAAAATAAAACTATTTATAATTTATGGGTAGTTTTTTGTTATAAATGGGCAGTTTTTAAACTATTATAAGTGGACAATTTTTAAAGTGAGATTAAAGAACATTTGTGCCCATTGTATGCTTAGACAAGAGGGGTAAAAAACGTCCATATAGATATAGATTATCCAATGTGTTGAGGTTTTTTTAACAAAATGGCCATTCTTAGAAATCACTACCAGTAGAAAGTAAAAATTAATAGATTTTGCATATAATTGAATGTCTAGAAGATATCGATTCCTGGAGGGTTGAAAGCAACAAGAACATTGATGCCAATGCATTGTCGATTGTAGGTGTAGGTGTAGGTGGATTCCTCCTTGGAGCTCCTTTTTGTTTGGGAGACGGGATCTGCTCCTCACAAATGGGTGCCTCACATGCACATCCACCATGCATTGGTAACACCTCCTGTGAATAATAACTAATATTCACGGGAGATGTTCCCAATGCATGGTAGGATGTGCGTGTGAGGCGCCAGGTGTGAGGAGTAGATCCGGTTTCTTTTTTTGGGTATCTCCTGAATGGCTACACAAAGGGAGTAGCCGATCGCCCAACCCATTTCCCCCCTAACGGCCCAACCCAGATGCAGGCAGGATTCGATCCCAAGCCTCTACTACGATCAGTAAGAGACCTTACTGGTCTCTGAAAGTAGTTGCCAATGTGCCATGTCATATGGATGTCATCTATCTATTTAATTTCAGTACAGGTCATAAAAGTTAATTCTAAGTACCATATATCATATATGGCTGGCTATATAATACTCGCACACATATGATTCTGGTCTGGGGCCTCTCGAAACAAGTTATCTCGCTAAAGGGACCAGTATTAAAGCTTTGCCCATATAGACCCACATTTTAGTGTTTTGGTACAAGTTGGAAACTGAACTGAATCATGTCTGCAACCAATTCTATCTAATCAAGTTTTCCATTCCACTTCTATATTTAGACCATTACAAGAACTTTTCTTCCATAAACGCATAGAAAGCAACCTAACCTATCTTTGGTTTCTTGTCCCAATGATTATCAATCTATAGAAGAAATCAGTCGAGGTTTTTTCTTCATAAGAGTTTCATGAAATTTTAATTTCATTTAAGGTGAGCAATGTCTAAGTAATCAAATGAAACTTTAGACTTTTTGTTGAAATTTGTTGTATTACAGCCAAAAGATTTGAAAAAAAATATTATAAAATAATTAAGAAAGATAAAAACTAAAAATTTAAACATCTTCTAAAGTTTTTTGAAATACAGGAATGACAAACTTAGAAGCATATTTTATAATGTGGTATTTATAGAATCAATATAATTAACTAATATAAATTAGTCCAATATCAAATAAACTAAATACAACATAAATATTGCACTGAAATGAAATCCGGTCAGAGATCAAAATAAAAAAAAAGAAAAAAAAAATTGCAAATTTCATTTTCTACGCTAGAACAAAGTTCGAAAGCTTCAACTTTCACGCAATGAAGAACTTTGCCCCACATTCCCAAAGCAAATTTATCAATAAATAAGGCAAGAAAAACCCAATATGACGTCAAATAACACAAAGAATGTTGATTATGGAGCCTCAATTTGTTCCATTAGTTTACGTTACAAAATATTTCAATCAATTAATTTGAACTCAAAAAATTGCTCAGCTTCCTCCTCAACTCACAAACAATTCATTATGGTAACGAAACAAACAAATAAATTTATATTAATCAAACACCAAGAATTTATCGTGGAGTTCTTAAAAGAAAATTTAAAAAATATGAAAAAGATAAGCGAATTAAGAGCAGGGAGGAAGGATTGAAGCCAGCAAAAAATGGATGATCTCAGAATATCATCTCCCTGGGGTAAAAAGGTTAGTACTTAGTAGGCTAGCCGTGTGTCCTCCTTAGTTTGTTTTCCTTTTGCAACCAGGAGAAGTCAGCAGTCTGGGCTGTAAGGACATGATGAAGGGTGTTCGTTGGGATGTCTGCTTCCACTAGAAACCAGAAAGAAAGTTAAGGACAAAACGCAGAATGGTGGGGCCTTGATCAGACTTATTAGATTAGCCACCCAAGACAAAAATAGGTTATCCTCTCTGTTCAAAGTATTCATCTCCCGCTTGCCCTTCACTTTTCCCATTTCCACTCCACACAAGTAGTCGGTGGTCGGAATATCTCTATATTCTGGGACGATAAGATAAGCATTCAATCATGATTCATGAGGACTAACACCAACCATACAACCATCATGGGATGGCAGTATGGCACCAAAGCTAGTTCATGGCATGGCCGCGTGCCCACAGAAGCCCACCGCTAACATTCCGCACATTGGGCCGCTAGTCACCAAGTCCAAGCTTTGAGTAAAGGTGAGTAGTTGGAATCTTTGGTTACTTAACATCACTCCAACTACAACTACAAGTTTAGAATATAACTGGCGTGTGGAAAGCCTGTAAAGAAGTGCTCCCCAGTCCCAGCCTCCCTCACACTGACTTGGGCTCTTTCCATTTTTCTTTTACACCGGTTTTCTTGTTTATTAGAGAGAACTGAGGCCAATTCCATCAAACCCATTAAGCGACCTTTGCCAGTAGTGCATGTCATGTACTTGTTCTAGAGCTAGAACTGTAAAAGCTAAATTAATAAACCAGTCAGTCGCCTTGATCATAAAGCAATTCATGGCTTTTTGATAAAGCAAATGATGGAAGCCATGATTCCAACAGAGACAAGTTTTAAATGGTCCAAACTTCCAAAAGATCCCTGACTTCTAGATCTCATAATTCATTATTCATAACCTACATAGAAGACTCCATCGGGGCACTGATATAATGAGAGAGAAGGGAGATGTGTATATATGAGGTGGTTGATATGCATCAATCATGAAATGATGCTTGCAAAATAAAAAAGAAGTTGTGCACATTTGCAAACGAGGCTTTGATGCATAAAATTATTAGATTCTATCATCACAATAGACAATACTTCCCATGTAAGGCATGGTCGTGGTTTCATCCTATTTCCTATGGGGATCCTCCACTTCTACATAATCACCACTCCACCAAAGGCACAAGAGTAGTAGCCAGAGCTCTTTTAATAATCTAATATTAATATCAGGATGGATGTTGTTGTTGATATTCAATGGCCTGAAGCAATATACATGGTATTTGCAAGGTGCCAACCAGCTGGTTGGTAAGGTCTCCTGTTGGTCGTAGCTAAGACTTAGATTGAATCCTGCCTGTTGAGGGAGGGGGGGTTATAACCTATGGGTTGGGGGATGTGTTACCCTTCACAAGATATCAAGAAAAATATTTATTGACCAGCATGTACACCACCAAATCTATTTATTTTTATGTCTAATTGCTTCAAGCAAATCAACATGGAAGGATGGATGGATGGAACAATAAGATTCTTTCTTTTTTTTCCCTATCCTTCAACTTACTAACTTAGATCCCAATAAGAATTAGGATAGGATAAATGAAGGGGAGGGTGGTTAATTAAGTATAAAAAGATACAAGGAAACGACTGATATTGAAAAGCTTGAAACTGGATTGTTCTTAAGCCTATGTTATTACGCCCATGAGATGGGGAATAACTCTCTATATTATACAAGGCAATGATAGATGCAAATGAAATAATACTATAGGGCATGTAAATTATCAGGTTGATACAATAAGATCTGTTTAAAATTGGCCACCATACTTTCATGACAATAAACCCATTCATTTGTTAAATTGATAGATTTGATCGTATCATAATATATTATCACTATCATATATCATGAGAGAAAAATAGGTATTAAATTAGGGTTACCTAGGGGTGGTGAGAAAGAAAATCAAAAAACTAAATTGAACTGAAAATTTGGTTAATCGAACTGTTCAATTTAGTTTTAATTCGGTATTTTTGAAAAACCAAAGCTATCAGTTTAATTTCGATTAATCAATATAAAAATCGGCGATTAAACTGATATTATACATATATATATATATATATATATATATATTTACAATATATTTTATAAAGTCAAAAAAACTACAAAACAGACTATTAATAGAACCGATCGGCTTAGGCCCACGATTCGGTTAACCGAACCGTGAGCACCCCTTGCTACCCAACTTTGAAATATCCGAATGTGTATACATATTTGGTTCGGATCTGTCGGTCTCTGTCCAACCCAACTGCTTACAGAGGACTTAATCACAAAACGGAGAAGGAAAATGTCAGCCTTCCGCGTGAACAAAGTACAACACACACCGTGCCACTAATTAAGGCATTTTTGGGGTTAACACGTGGCAGTGAAGATGCAATATTGTTGAGAGTGTTTGTCAGATTGCCATTTGTTAATGTTCCAAATCAGAGTTTGTTGCCCAGGCTGAGATTGGATTCACAGGACAATCCGGATACCCCTCATAAAATCTAGGGTTTGGGACGAAAGCAAAAACAAAACATCACTTTAATTGGTGTTTGGTTTAAAACATTTTCACATTTCATTGGGGTCACGAATTTAGCTTATTTAATACTTCAATAGTGTGCTATTAAAGTAAGCATCAGCTTTTTTATTATTTACTTCTTCCTCAAATTGTCTATTGGATTTACACTCTATTATCTTGCCAGTTTTGACTTTGCTGTTTTGTGGCATTTTGAGCATTTTTTAATGAGCATTTAAAAAAAATAAATATGAACATTTCTATACTTCTTTTTTTCACGCTTTCTACTAATGTTTTTAACTGTTATTGACCCAAACGGTCAGATTGTTTAACCGGGAATCATCAGACAATCAGTTATGTTTCACTCTTAATCCAAAAATCATTGATGGGTGATCAAACCATCAACCTGTTCATTTTCAACAATGGTTTTTGGTCTTTTATTTTAATTTTTTATAATTGGAATGCACCATCCGTTCTGCCACTGACCTACCTGCATGGCCAAAGTGGTTCCGGTTTTCGGGTTGGTTTTTAGAAAATTGCTTTTCTAAAGTGGAATTGTGGAAAACGACGTTCTTGTACTAATCGACAAAGAAGGGAGCAACAATGCATCATCCATCTCATGGCAAGCTAAGCTAACCACCTACATCACTATCTCCTCATCTCCCATTATTAATGTGAATCAAACACGGGAAATTAGTTTCATTAGATACAGATTGACGTCGACATTAACACATGTTTGCACTAATTGTTTCGCTGAGTTGCAGATAATGGGAAACTTTTTTTCCCCTTTATTTGATCCTCTTCCATTAATGAGTTGGTTGGGGAACCCGATTTTTGTCATTTCGGGTGATGCTCCTCGGTAAATTCAGGTTGGATTAAAGTCTTTAAAATCCTTCCTTTGTGTCGGAGTTGAAAGAATGGATATAGACCGACTCAGGTTAACTTTTTAAAAAGACTAGATCTGGGCAGATTTGTGATGAAAATTGTGAACCACAACCACCCACACTATTATTACATTTCACAAGTAACTCATTGAATTACGCTCAAAAAAGGAAAACAAAGATTGGCCTCTTTAGGGAGTCCGAGTCCGAACCTTTGAGTTTTGTTGCTACAACTTACAAGTGCTTTCCGGTTCGGGTTTAAGTTTGTCATGCATGCATTTGCCCCTATATATTTATCATACAACTCTTGTTTAATGTTTGGCCCAAATCCAGGGCGCTTGTGGGGCCCATCATATCATCGGCCCTAATAATCAAAGGCTCGCATTCTCTGTTGAAAATTGTGAACATATGACATTCTCTATCCAATCCAAGCAGCTTCAGTCGGCTACTCGGATATACACAGTACAAATATTAAGGTTTCCCACTTCCAAGTTCCTACCCGTCCGATCAGCCTGAGTCTCACCACACATGTCTGGTCGCATGACATCTCAAACGTCCTTGCACGACTCAACTTCTCTTTTTAATCATGATGAACTGTATCAATTGCTCTCCATTATAAGACAATGCGGGGCCCATTAAAGGTCTTCATCCAAGCGAGCGAGATGTCTCCAGAGGATTAATAGTAATTAAAACAACAAACTCAGGGTAATTTAGGATTTAGGACGTTCCCGATTTTTCACGCATTCTCATTTCTCTGGAGGAATGCTACGGCTACCTGAACTCTGGCCCACATTATATACTAATTGCAGTATTTAGAGTAAACGGTATATAATACGGTAAGCAGATCATCGTAGCCTTGGCATTCTTTATTACTTGCAATGTAACGGTTATCACCGTACTTTGTCGACCCGACCACTCTCTTTCGCCACTAATCCCCACGAGACTCCACGACGACACGACCCGAAAGCGAAAGGCCGAAATCACCTCTCTCTCTCTCTCTCTCCCACACACACAGCTTTTTTGGCATTTTTATGGATTTGAATTGAATTGGTTTTGGTTCCTCGTGAGAACTCGATGTTTAATGTCACGGTGCTCCTGTCCATCCGAAGGGAGAAAACCATTATTTTACTCACCAACCAATACTCTGTTCTTCTGTTCTGCAAAAAAAGCAACGAAAGAAAAAGCGAAAAACTCTTCGGCCATGAATGCTCTCTTGCTTCAATCACACCCATTTCATTTCCCTCTGTATATCTGTCGAAATAATTAACTCATAGGAACTCGAGAAAGAAAGAAACAGATACTAGAAATCGATTTGTCATCATGAATGCGTCTTGCTTGCGCACCACCACTCTTCTCCTGTTTTATTTCATCCTCTCCTGCACGGTTTCTGCCGATAACCTGAACTGTAAACAATAACACAAGGGAAACACTCTTTCCCTCCAAAACCCGGCTCGAGTTTCTTCAAGAATAACCTCATTTATCTATCGTTCTCCAAATGATTAAGAACCCACTTGCTCAAGATCCAGAAACCATGCCTATCTGGGAGTTTCTGAACAAGCTCAAGCGTCTGAAACCGCATGAACCATCCTTGGGGATTCTTGGGTTTCTGTTTATTACAGTAGTTTGTTTTCTCTCCTGTTTCTTTTACTTGGACTATAGGATTGTTACTAAAGGATTCCGCGTTCACGGGCAGTCGCAAAGATTTATGTGGTTGGGTTTCGATGTGACTGGTCGAGATGAACGGGTAGGGTTTCTTGCAGAGGGTGGCGAAGGCTGTGATTTGTTTAAAGGAGACTGGGTCTGGGATGAACAGTACCCACTATACCAGTCTAAAGATTGCAGATTTTTGGACGAAGGATTCCGGTGTACTGAGAATGGAAGGCCTGATAACTTCTATACCAAGTGGAGATGGCAACCCAAAGATTGCAACTTGCCCAGGTTTAACTCCTCTCATTTTCTCGTTTTTCCAACTTTTAATGTATAATCCTGAATCCTCTGCAAAACATTTTTTCGTATATATAATGTTTTTTGTTTACGTGTTGCTACTTCAAAGTTTCGATTCATAGCGTTTGGCCGTTTCCACTTTCCATTAGTTAAGTCCTATTCTTTTATTATTGTCTTTTGATATTCTGTTTCTGGGTAAACGTCCAAGCTTTCTCAATTGTTAAGTCCTATATACCGTTTATTATTGTCTTTGCTTTTATTCTGTTGATATTATTTCCTATCAGCTTTCTCAATTGTTCTGCAACTTTTCAGTAATGAAGAAGGAAGGTTTTTGTTTTTATTCCAACCTTATTTTTTAATCTATCCTAATTTTGTACGTATAATTGTGCATTTTATTTAGTTCAAAAAATTATATATGTTTCTGAGAAGTAGTTGAAGGTCTTTTGTTCTTTTGCTCCTTAGTTGCAATTGTCCTTGGAGCTTTTCTAAGAAGATGTTGTAGTTAATCTTTTTCTCACTAGTTTTATATTTTACTTTCATTCAGTTACTCCATTTCTTGCTTGGGTWTTTATTGGATTAGAGTTCAAAATTATGTTTGGTTTATGCTTTCGTTTGGGCCCTCTCTTATTTTATTTTGATTAATAAATCCAAGTATAATTTCTATTTGCAATTCCATTCCTATCAATGGAGAAGAAACGGATAATGGGGGGAAAAACTAATTTGTATTTCTATCTTTCTTCTTATTTGTATAAAGATTCGATGCAAAGAAAATGCTGGAGAAATTGCGGAATCGAAGGCTGGTATTTGTTGGAGACTCAATTGGAAGAAATCAATGGGAGTCCCTTCTCTGCATGCTTTCCTCAGCAATTCCAGGCAAGGATTCGATCTATGAAGTAAATGGAAGTCCGATTACTAAGCATAAAGGATTCTTGGTCTTCAGGTTCAGAGACTTCAACTGCACTGTGGAGTATTACAGAGCTCCATTTTTAGTGCTGCAGAGCCGGGCACCAGCTGGGGCTCCAGAAAAGGTGAAGATGACTCTGAAACTGGATAAAATGGATTGGAGCTCTGTACAGTGGAGAGATGCGGATGTCCTGGTTTTCAACACTGGTCATTGGTGGAACTATGAAAAAACCATACGAGGGTACTTCTATTCATCAGAAATTGCTTTTTTTTGTCTCATCATAAAATCTAAAAATCTGTCCTGCGTGTCTAGTGTTTACTACTTATAAATTTATTATTTTGTTGCATTTCTTGGATACAACATAAAACCAATGGAGTATAACTGACTTATGACGGGATATTTAGGAATGTGTCTAAGAATTTTAGGGAGGTATTTGAAGTCTTTCCGGAGACCGGAATTCAAAGTCCAAAATACAAATCATTTGAGGTGGGCGTGTTTTGGATATTTTGGAATGTTAAGGTTGTTATCAAGCATGACTGAAACAGTTTCATATTTATCATTATAACTATTATTGTGTCTAACTTACCCTTGTTAATCTCCTTGTTTATGAATTATAATTTTTCATGTTTGACAAATGCACATGGAAAGCAAAAGTTCTAAAACTGCCGTACAAGCTGCTTTTAAGCATGCATAGTCGTAGTACACCAGATGTTTCCTAGTTCATGCTCCAAATCTACACAATTATATGGTGCAGTAGACACACTAGATCATATCAGCCCTTGAGTCAGTGTTGAAGTCCAGTGGTCAACTTTTCATTTTCTCTTTTAAGGGGTTGTTTTAGTTATTTACAGGGCCCAAGATGAGATGGCCTACTTATCTAACTAAAGGCTTGGAGTTTAGTATATTCAAGATTTGTTTGGTCAATTAAACTAATTAAAATGGAAGTTCTAGGTAATCTGTCATTTGTAGCTTTAAAACTGTTTAAAATGTCTTTTCTGTTGTGGGACTGTTGTTTTCCATATTTTTTTCTCAGGAAATAAGTAGGGATTTAAGACTATGGTTTATTTGGAACTTTTGTGACCATTAAGTTTCTGCAATCTGGCCCTCCGTTTTTATTTAGTATTCAGTTTCTGTGCTTTACTTTATATCCAGATGACAATCTAATGTTGCAAAACAGATTGTGACACAGGTAACTTGACTAGTTCAATTAATGTGATGACCTAAAATTGAAAACAATATTCTTCTTTGAACTCCAGCAATGATGTTTGATATTGTTGTCACATTTATTTGAATAAGTTGTTGATCTAATGAAGCCTAAAAAGTGGTTCTTAGATTGTGATGATGCACGATTTGGCCGGTCTTAGCTGTCGATAATCTTGCCTCTGAACTGAGTAACAGGGACCTGAAACGGGAGGAGAAGAGAAGCTCCGAGGAGAACCYGGCGTAAGGGCTCYGAAGCTCAAGTTAGAATCCTTCAAAGGCAAGAATAACCAGATAGCGCGAAAGTTAGCATACCTCGTCCCTGGGGGGGTAGAAGCCTTTTATAACCACCTCGCGCACTCA